ATCATTCCACTGATATCGTTCGATCGATCGGCCGATACTGATCATTCAACAGATACTGATCGATAGAAAAGTGAACGGCAGAATGTATCGGCTAATGTTCTCGTGCTATACGACCATCTTCGAGTCAGTGTCGTTTCGGAGGCATTTCTTCCGTCGTCGTAAATGCAGCAGCAATAATACGGACGAGAAACGTTTAACGCTTAGCCAGGAGACCGTGACTGATGCACAGACCGAGATGGACAATATGGCGGCGACGACAATCGACGCAGAGGAGGATGACTATTCGCTGTCCGATGAGGAACGATTGTGGCAACAACTGCGGGAACGATTGAATTCGGCCGATGAACGCAACGCAAATCCGCCAACGATCATCGTTCAAAACACTGATCTTCAAAGCGAACTCGAAAGCGAACGACCTGAGGTAATTGTGAACGAATATGCTTGCTTTACAGTGTCTTTATCAAAATCGCCATTGCATCGAATCAATTTCACTTCTTTAATCGTAACATTGACTATTACTTGCTTTTCGACTAGGATATTTTGAGCTTGCTTGGACTAAGGCTTGCTCAGGCAATGATTCGGAGTTTGATTATGGTTTTTTGCATCCGAATTGAAACTGGAACTGCGCATTGGCGTTCACGCTTTCATACAGGCACTCGGAATTTCAACGTGAATTAGCGTGTGATCCAAAAACGATCCAGTGAAATTGAATGTTTCAATCTGCGTTCTAAGAATTCCGCAATTCGGAAATGTAATTCACATATAATATGCTGGCAGATTAGTCTTACCGTGTGACATTCTTCACTTCTTTCGTGTGACATTCTTCAATTTGAAACGAAAAGAAACTTCCGAATTCACGTCAGTTCACGTTAACTTCAGTTTTCACACTGTAGAAGAAGTACCTTTCTACTAGACCAACTACATTGATGGCTAAATTCAGTTGTTAAGAAAAACAGATTTAATGGTCTCATTCGCTGAATACTTAGCGAAAATTGAAATAGCGGTGCTTGACCACAATTCTATCTCAAGAGCAATGTTGCGCTCCTTTGCTATTAGTTTCAAATGAAGTTAAGAACTGAACAATCTAAAACTTTGAAAGCGAAAACCTTTTCAAGCGATAATACACGAGTCATCTCTAGAATATGCTCAAATTCCTAATGGACAAGATAATAAAAATCTGATTTTCAACAATCCACCATTTGTTACCACTGGAATGTTGGCAGACAGCTTCTGTTTGTCAAAATGAACCGCAAAGAAAACGCAAACACAAGTAATTTGTCATAATTTTGAGCTGTCTTCTCTGAGCTGTCAGGAACTAAA